ACACACCGCTCGGCAATTCAAAGATATCCTTCCCTTTCCTTTTGACGTACATGATTCTGGCTAGAAACCGACTTTACTTGTCATGCCTTTTTTCTCTCTCTCCCATTGCGGGTTTTATACAAGTTCAACATTCCTTTTATCTCAATCGGCAAAGTGTAGATGCATTCTTAATACCAAGCCACCAAGCCACATTCATTCATTCATCTTCACTTTTTACTGTTTTCAAGAGTTGCAATTGCATTGCATCTATGGATGGATGCATTGTAAATCTAAAAAAACTAGATGAAAGACCAAAAGCTTTCCCACGCCCTCCCAGATCTTTCTCATTGATACATGTCTATACCGAGGGACCGATTCTGCTATAAGTTCAAATGGAATCTCGACAGTAAAGAAAGAAGTATACCCATGGAGGTTGGATTAGAATATGTATGAAGCTTGTGCAAAGAGTACAGCCAAATCTACTGAAGGCGACAAATAGCGAAGAGCCGAGTCAAGTGAATTAACAATACAAAAAAAGGGGAAAGACACAAATATTTACAGACGAAACGCTCTATGTTCAGAACCACATGTGCGCCATAGCAAAAGGAGAAGAGCTAGAACGTTAATAATATCCCGGTGCTAATTCAATTGCACATAGTTGGCTATATAAAATGTTAGCAAATGCACTAAAACAAAAGAGCTATAACACTTACCCGGAAACTGGCCCTCCCGACCTGCAATTCGCCCAGACCACCATTCATTGGTATTTTCGGTGCGCTGGGTAATCTCGATAACATCACCAGCCGAGAATCCAAGATCACCGTGTGCCTGAGCCTCGTAATCATAAAGAGCGGTAACAGTCTCAACCGGCTTACTGAGATGGGACGGCTTCGCCCGTGGAGGAGGCGGGGCAGGCTTGCTCTTGGCGGCAGAAGAGAAACTGCCTGTCGGACTGGGACTGACGGCGGCAGACGAATAAGGTGGTGGAGGGTTGTCATCGGTGGCGGTGGATCCGGAACGGCCTCGGCCGATGGAGCTCTTGCTATCGGCTCCCTTGCCCGGAGGGCCCAGCTTGGATCCGGAACGGCGGACACCTTGGGTTTTAAAGTGCACAATGGTAAGGGCTTCGGCTTGTTCCTGGATATTGCCGCGCTTCTGCTCAAAGGCCTCTTCAACATCGAGTTTAAGATTGAAATAACTGATGTTCATGCCCTGCATTCGTTCGTGGAGAGTGTAGAAGACATTGAGTTGCATATAGTAGAAGGACTGGAAGAGCGGGCGGATGAACTCGGCTTCGAGGGCGAACAGCTTGGGCAGTTCGTCCTTCAGCAAATCGTTGTAATAGTTAAACTCCTGGGTTGCCTGCTCAACATCGTTCTCGGCTTTGTATAGTGCTTTCTCGTCTTTGAGCGATTTGTCCTTCTTCTCTTCCAGCTTCTTCAGTGTCGCGTTGCGGCGGTCAAAGTCCAGCTTCTTGTGATCACGCTTAACCGCAACCTTCCGAATCACCTTGATCACCTCGAGCAGTTGGTCGGCAGGGCTGATAATGCGGGTGTCGATCATCTCCAGCTCGGGGGCTAGAGCCTCTTGCAGTTCCTTGACGATGACTTCATATTCCTCACAGGCCTGAATGCCCTCGGCATTTCCTTCGAATTGGTAGGAGGTGGGATCGGAGGCGCGACCGGAGATGGGTTTGTAGATTTCAGCGATTGCTTTGGAGAATTCGATTTGGTGGTTCAACATGCCTGCGCACGCGGTCAGTAACGAGGTGTGAAAGGTTGAGGATGAAAGATTCACCATTAATGGCAGCAAAGTATTTCTTGGACTCATCGTGTAGCTTCTTGGTCTCTTTCTCGAGCTCATCAAAGCGGCGTTCGGCATCGCTATAGACAGCATCCTTGGTATGCTCACCAATGTTGAATTTGACCTTGAACTGTTGTGGCGCACGCACAATGCTCTTCTGGAAACCTTTGAAACTCATGATGTAAATAGGATTAAGGAGAGAGGTAGGAGACGAGAGAAAGTGCCAAGGTGGGGGGGGGGGAAAGAAGAAGGGCGAACCCGAACCTTTTCAATGACATAAGACTCTGCCAACGTTGTACGGAGCTGATGTCCATTGTGGCTGTACATATTTCGCTTTTATACTATTTCACACTATTTCGGACTTTTTTGGACTATTTTATACGCTAATACTCTGCCTTATGATCCTGTGGCGCATTATATTCAAAATTAGGCACCTGGATTATTATTATCTCCATATTCCCTGTGGACATACTACTGTAGCTTCTATGCTCTATAGAACATACATAGTTACCTATTATAATACATAGCCTAGAACCTTGAACAGTCACATCCATCTCTACACTCTACAAAGCAGTTTCTCCCCGGCAGCCTTACCCGAGAAAATCCCAAGAACCATGAAATTAAAAGACCCCAGTCCGATCGTCATCATTGGGCCATCATTCCTTTGGGACGTGCGGGGGGTAACTTGGCAATTGGAATGTGAGAATACCATAAGTCAGAAGAGGGTTTTCAAACTGATTAATAGAATATCATCATAGCTAATTATCATAAAATAGAGAAATGAATATATGTTATAGTCCTGGAAGTGCTGGAGAATGGGGAATGGGGAATGGAGAATATATCTGAAAGGGGAAAGCTCCATACCTCTGTGTTGCCTTAGGCATCACGGATAAACCTAATTGGGAAATTCCCGAGATCTTTAGTCATTGAGAGATGCCGCCCCGGGCGGTGATAACAAAAAGTCGGGGTTGTGTTTCCTTCTTCATCCCACTTCCAAGGATATTGGCACATATCATCTTCATAATGACAAGTGCTGTTCCTACTGCTTGGAGACAGGCGTCTGCCTTCTCCAGGCGCCTTTCAACCTATGGTTCTCGAGCTCCTCGAGTCCTCGCCACCGGGCTGCGCGGTGCTCGGTCTTACGTCTCCGAGACGAAAGTTGGCCAAGCTCAGGTCAATATCGAGACTGCCATCAAAGAAGAACAAAAGTCATTCATGAACCAGTCCCATATGGCCCCCCAGAATGTTAAGCTGCCCGGCTCGGCAACCTCTGGTGACGCTGCGATGAGCCCGTCGGCCGGCATTCTGAAGCAGGCCACCGTTATGGACCAGGGCACCCGTCCCATCTACCTCGATATGCAAGCCACCACACCCCTGGACCCCCGGGTTCTGGATAGCATGCTTCCTTACCTCACCGGTATCTACGGTAACCCGCACTCGCGCACACACGCCTACGGTTGGGAGTCGGAGAAGGGGGTCGAGGAGGCTCGCGGGCATATCGCCAAATTGATCGGGGCCGACCCCAAGGAGATCATTTTCACAAGTGGTGCGACGGAGAGCAACAACATGAGTCTGAAGGGTGTGGCGCGGTTCTTTGGCCGCTCGGGAAAGAAAAATCACATCATCACTACCCAAACGGAACACAAGTGTGTGCTCGACAGTTGCCGACACTTGCAGGATGAAGGATTCGAGGTGACTTACTTGCCAGTTCAGAGCAATGGTTTGATTCGCATGTCGGATCTTGAGGCGGCTATGCGCCCGGAGACTTGTATTGTCAGTGTTATGGCTGTCAACAATGAGATCGGTGTGATCCAGCCAATGGAGGAGATTGGCCGTCTCTGCCGGTCCAAGAAGGTGTTCTTCCACACCGACGGTGCCCAGGCCGTTGGAAAGATCCCGTTGGATGTCAACAAGCTGAACATCGATTTGATGTCGATTTCCAGCCACAAGATCTACGGTCCCAAGGGTGTTGGTGCCTGCTTTGTGCGTCGTCGCCCCCGTGTCCGTCTTGATCCTCTCATCACTGGTGGTGGACAGGAAAGAGGTCTACGCAGTGGCACCTTGGCCCCTCATCTGGCAGTAGGCTTTGGCGAGGCTTGCCGAATTGCCGCCCAAGATATGGAGGTAAGCTTTCTCCCTCGTTCTTTTATATTTCCTATTTCCATTATTGCCACGATTTCTATGCACTGCAATAAACGTCTATTTGGAATCCTTGGGAGATTACGTGTTCTTTGGGCACGGTATTCAACTCCAATGATGTCAACTGCAGGCATAATGAGCTGGCGGACCCATGAACTTGAATTTCAGCCCGTCTTCGAAATGATAACTGACTGATCGAACAGTATGACACCAAGCACATTGATCGCTTGTCTAAACGTCTGAGCGAGGGCCTCCTTGCTATGGAACACACCACATTGAATGGTGACCCCGAGCACCACTACCCTGGCTGCGTGAACATCTCATTTGCCTACGTCGAGGGTGAATCTCTACTGATGGCGCTGAACGACATTGCGCTGTCATCGGGCAGCGCCTGTACCTCTGCCTCCCTGGAACCTAGCTACGTGCTGCGCGCTCTGGGCAGCAGCGACGAGAGTGCCCACAGCAGTATCCGTTTCGGTATCGGCCGATTCACCTCGGACGAGGAGATCGACTACGTCCTCAAGGCTGTCCAGGCTCGTGTATCTTTCCTACGTGAACTGAGTCCGCTTTGGGAGTTGGTGCAGGAGGGAATTGATCTGAACACGATCGAATGGAGCCAGCACTGATCATATGAATCTTGATTTGAGAAAAAAATCCCACTAGGGATGGCGTTGAAGTGTAACAACATCGGATTTGTACAGACTGAGAATAATCACCTCGCAATTAACTACTCTCTACCTTTCTCTTTAAGCCCTTGATGCCTTGTACGTCACCCGCATTGTCTTAAGCTTCTCTCTGAGGTCATAAAAGAACATTTGAGTAAGTTTCGCAAGTTTTATAGCCCTCAGGTGATCAATCCTTAAGCCAAATAATGTTTAATTAGCCTCAAACTATTCCTCTCGGCCCAAACCCCCGTAATCTGAAGGTGCTTCTACTCTTGAGCAAAGAAGTTAAAGGGTTTATCTACCGAGAGTCAATTCATAGTTTGCGCTTGATTCCTGTCCTTTTAAGATGGCCTTGGTTGTGGAAAAAACCAAAAAAAGAAGACACAATTTGGAGAGAAAAGAGCTATACCGACAATGCATCTATTCCTCATCCTTGGCACACTTTGGAGTAATGTGGCCACTGTAGCTGGTCACCGACACTCTGAGCTTCGAGTCGTGACCTCTTCCGGCTTTGTGAACGGAATATATAACGATTCTGCACATACTGTACGGGCGTTTCTTGGAGTTCCATATGCCGAGCCCCCAGTTCAAGAGCTGCGATGGGGACCACCACATCCCAAATCACCACCCGGCAGACCCATCGATGCATCTTCCTTCAGCAGTCCCTGTCCACAGGTGTATACGTACTCCAATGAGTCCATTTATAGTGTTCTTCCGTCTATGATATGGAACTCTGGCGACATTTCTGAAGACTGTCTGTATATGAACATCTGGGCACCTTCTTTCGAACATCGAGGCTACAGGGGGCTGCGCAGAGCAACAGTCATGATGTTCATCCATGGCGGAAGCTATGATATAGGAGGTAGTTCGGTTAGTTACTACGATGGCACGAATTTAGTACAGAATCAGGATGATCTGATTGTTGTTACCTTCAAGTAAGGAGACGCTGAGTTTTGTCCATTCATATCACTAATCTGTGGGTTAGTTATCGACTCAATGTCTTTGGATTTCCTAATGCACCAGACATCGACCCGTCTAAGCAAAACCTTGGGATTTTGGACCAGGTAGATCTTGAAAGTGTATGGTTGATAGTATGGATGAACTGACCAGATATTTAGCGATTGGCAATCGAGTGGGTTTATGAAAATATAGCCAGATTCGGTGGTGATCCAGATCGAATTCTTCTGTTTGGTCAATCTACTGGGGCTTCCTCAGTTGATATCCATTCATACGCAGTGAGCACCTTTCTATGTCGGGACTTCTCAACTATCCCCAAATGGCTGACCTCTGATAGTACCCAGACAATCCTATCGTTAGCGCACTTGCTCTTCACTCCGGCACTGCTCCATTACTGACAACAGCTTCCGATCATCAAAATTGGAATGAGCTGTCTACTGCTATTGGATGCGGCGTAGGAGCCGGGTCCTTCCAATGCATGAGACAAGCCCCAATGATGAAGATTGTCGAAACAAGGACCAATGGAAGTTATAGCTTTTGTCCCATTGTGGATAATGTCCTCGTCTTTTCCGATTATTCCGCTAGAGCTAAAATGGGGAAATTGGCACAATTGGTATGTACTTGACGGTGATCTTTCTTTTTGTATCTTCCTGGGCTTACCATGTTTGGAACCCTAGCCAACATTAGGAGGGAGTAATGAGCGTGAAGTCACGGCTTTCTTGCCGTTAAGTCAAACATCCGTTGATGAGACAACAATCTCTATGCTCAGTCAAAAGATTTATAACTGTCCCCTCCGGGAATCTGTCAGGTAAGAGCCAAGAGGGTTCCCACTTTGAACCGCTCCAACTACATGTATTGGTCTAATATTCATCGACGAATGTAGGATTCGATTGAGTCAGCACGTGCCAACTTGGAGGTATCTATACCATGGGAACTTTAGCAACGTCAGCCCAACTCCATGGCTTGGGGCATACCACGGGTGTAAGAATTAACCAGCCCTTTCCTTGTTCATTTTGATTTAACCGCATGATAGCTGAGGTACCTCTTGTCTTTGGAACCTATGATAAGTCCAGGGCGATCCCTCCGTCTGCCAGGGAAGTCGAAGTCAGTGAATACATGCAAGGTAAACCCTTCTAAGATGAAGGCCAGGCGTTGCCTAGATTTACAAATTTCCTAGGAGCTTGGGTTGCATTTGCCAAGGACCCTTGTATGGGACTGAGCGAGTATGGATGGCCACAGTTCAGCTTTGACGGTAAATGTGATTGTCTTGTTGTTCATTTCTCAGTCTGACCATCATATAGAGCCTACCTTGATCAATATCGCACTGAATAACACGGTCGAGGCAATATTTACTTCTGCTAGTCCGTGGGATACCTCTTGTGAAGCTCCCACTTGATCTGAGTTATGAGTTTTGGTATAGTTCTATTGTGGTACAATGGTACCAGGTGTTTCCAGACTCATTTGAAATGTGTTCCATGATTATTTACCGAGCTTTGCAGGTATATATGTGGGTGTGACACCGTTATGAAGCCTGTGCTATGTACCTTGGGGGGGGGGTTGTTACTATGTATATACCTCGGGCCTCGGGAATACAATATTATTAAGCATAGATGCCTTGTGTATTAGGCATATATATCTTTATGTGGTTAACTATTGTTGGGAGAAAGATAGGAAAGAGAGAGAAAAAAAAGTACGGTGTAAATGTAAAAAATTAGAATGTAGAATGTAGAATATATCATAAAGTCATATAGAATGAGGTCCAATCTAAATACCAGCCATGCATCCCCCTTCGATCAAGGTTGACGATCCTGAGTGAAGCGAATTCGAAGCCAAATTAAGCGAAAAGGCGAAAATGCCCGAAAATGCCTCAATTCCCGTGTCTTTCCCGGGTTAGGCCCCTTTGACTCGCACTCAATTTCTTCTTCGCTTAAATTGCCACTCCACTTGGGCCTCGCGGATGCACCCAGTCCATCTTGGCAGACTATCATTTGATTGTATAGCCATATAAAATGTACCTAAAATCTACTTAATCTACTTGAGTTAACTATTTTCGATCGACCGACTGGACTCTAAAACTTCCCCGGGGTCCTCTAAAAGAAACATCTTCCCCCCCCCCCCCTCTCTTCCTATGTCGGAGTTGCCCTCACCTTATGATTATCTTCCTTTTTACCTTGATTAGAAATGGTACTGGTACTTACCTTCCAGGGATCCCCGGTGAAATTACGTGCTCTGAAACTCGGTCCGATGAAGGGAAAACTCTGACTATTTAGCCATAGAATGTTATTTGGAGATTATAATATTATAATATCATTCGGTGTCAATCCTTCTCTTCCGTCATCCTCCGCAGAATTTAGCCTGGGGAAGTCATACTTTGGATTCCGGATCGTTCCTGGTCGGACCTTTCTGATCTTTTTGATCTTTTCTGGTATAATCCATAAATCCATATAATCCATATAATCCGCCCGCTTTTCGCCTTCTCATCTTCTCCAACTTTCATTCATTTTCATTCATTTTCATTACCCTGAAAATCCTTGAATCTCAGGATTTCTGTGGCAACGGGACTATGTTGCCTCCCGTGCCAAATCCTTCCGAGTTTGGAATCACTCCCGACTATGGTTTCCTCTCTCCAGAACTTCCCTTGGAGGTTCTCCCCAACCCTTACTATGCCGAATGGGAGAACATTATTGGGAATCTCCACCCTTTGATATTAAGCAAACGTCTACAGTCTGTGGTGGATCATCTCCCTATACTTTCTGTCACACGCCTACAGACAGAGGCTGAGTGGCGTCGTGCATATGTCATACTGGTCTTCATACTGCATGGCTATGTATGGGGTGGCAATTCACCCACAGAGGTACAGGTCCATCCTATTCATCTCCAAAAAGTAGATGTACTAATGATTTTCTTTTTCAAGAGGATTCCACCTCAACTTACAGTTCCCTTATTCCAAGTCTGTGAACGACTCGAATTACCTCCCGTGGCAACTTATGCTGGAGTCTGCCTTTGGAATTACAAGCCGATCTTCTCCCATGAGCCAGCCACCAACTTGGAAAACCTAGCTTGCCTACAAACCTTCACTGGATCTCTAGATGAACAATGGTTCTATCTAGTTTCAGTCGCCATAGAAGCACGTGGGGCCCCTTCTATCCCCGTGATGCTGAGGGCCATCGCCGCGGCCCGCACAGGCAACACCCAGATTGTAACCGAGTGCCTGCAGCGACTAGCGGAAACTATCGATGAGACCAACACCCTGCTGCAGAGGATGTATGAAAATTGCGATCCATATGTCTTCTACAACCGCATACGCCCTTACCTAGCTGGAAGTAAAAACATGGGTGATGCCGGATTGCCAAACGGGCTGCTATACGACGATGGCCACAACCCCGAGTACCGACAGTATGGAGGAGGCAGCAACGCCCAAAGCTCCCTCATTCAATTCTTCGACATTGTCCTCGGAGTGGAACACCGACCAACCGGTACAAGTCGCAAAGACAGTGAGAGCACTGGAGACACCAAGTCACGAAATAGCTTCATTCACGACATGCGCACCTACATGCCTGGTCCACACCGGCGATTCCTGGAGCAGATTGACTCGATAGCAAATATCCGCTCCTTTGTCGAGGCGCGACGTGGAGACTCGGCGTTGTGCATTGCCTACGACGCATGTCTAGCCATGTTGCGCGTTCTACGCGACAAGCATATTACCATTGTCTCCCGCTATATTATTCTGCAGTCCCGCAGTGCACGTCAGCCTTCTCAATCTGTCAACCCAAGCCTCCCAAAAACGACGAACCTTGCAAGCGCGACTCCAACCGACAAGAAGAAGCTGCGTGGTACCGGTGGCACGGCACTCATTCCGTTCCTGAAACAAGCTCGAGATGAAACCGGGGAGCCTGCCATTGATGCCTGGGCACGACGGCTGCTGAGCAATGGTCCTGCAGACAAGAAGTTTGCTTCGCTGAGCAAGGTTGGTGAGCAACCAGATGGTCATCTTGAGGTTGTCGGTCTCTGTGGCACATGGACAGCTGAAGAAAATGAGGGTGGAATTTGTCACTGGTAGTGGTACACTTTCTTTCTTTCTTTCTTTCTTTTTTTTGGGGGGGTTTAGTCTTTCAAGCGTGGCATTGCATGTGGATTTATGTACGCCGTACGCGGCGACTTGGTATTTGGGAACTTGCATTGAACTTATGGTTATTAGTATGCTCTATCAACTAGGCGTTGTGCAATACAAAGGATTTTTGCATGGACAATATTCTCATGGACTTGTAGATCACATCACACAGGGATATCACACAGAGAGATCACACAGAGAGATCACACAGAGATATTACACAGAGAGATACCTGTACTCCTGTACTGCATGTAGTAGTCAATACAACGTTGTAGAAACTTCCAATCCCAGCTGGAAAGAAAACCTGGCTTCGATATGACGCTCGACTTGGAACTCACGTGGTATGACATCATTCAATGACGTAGTTCATCATGATAGTTTGTTGAACTTCAGACAATCTTGGAAGATCTGGAAGAGGTTGGAGAAGGAGCTAGAATATGGGGATTGGATAATATAGATTATGTATATAAGGAAAGAACTTTCCTGCCATAACTTTCATTTTTCACTACTTTATCATTCATTCTTCAACTATCTATCATCTCTTCATTACCTACTACTATCATCTACCATCTACCATCTACCATCTACCATCTACCATCTACCATCTACCATCTACCATCCAACCATCATGTCTGACAACACCGGCAATGCCTCGACTGGTCAGTCGTACATCGACCAAGCCACTGGTCTCGCTCAACGCGCCATGGGAACCGTGACTGGCGACTCTTCCACTCAGGTAAGCATCCATTCTAGTCCCCCAACACCGTACCACAATACCAACGCATCTCAGACCAAGGGTGAACGCAAGCAAGAGGAAAGTCAAGCCAAAAAGGATGCCTCCCACACAACTGCCAAGTTGGGCCCCTTCACCGCCGACCCGAACACTGGAGCCGTTGCCAAAGACGACCCCAAGCGCGACACAGGATCTTGGGACCAGACCGTTGGCTCTGCCAAGGAGTCGGTCGGCAACCTGATCGGAAACGAGAACCTGCGCCGCACCGGAGCAGAGCAGAACGCCGCCGGCAAGGAACAAGAGGCTAAGGGTCAGCTCAAGGACTTGGGTGAAGGTATTCAGAACCGCGCCCAGGGTACTCTTGGATCCATTGGTGCCGCTGTCACTGGTAACCGCACCGAGGAAGAGAAGTACCGTGATATGCATGACGAGGGCAAGGCCCGCCAGCGCGGTGCTGAGGCCGATATTGCCAAGAAGGGTGGTGCTTAAACATGACTTGGAGATGACCTCTTGAGTTCGGGTTTTCTCACACTTGGTATTCGATGACGATTTTTACGATGGCCTTGCTATGATATCCAAATTAATGCCACGTTTTTATTTTACTTTTTACTTATAACTGTGCAATGTAGATGTAGTTTCACGTATTGAAAGGGTGAAGCCACCACAATGACCTATAGTACCGTCTTGGGGCTCTTCCATTCTCTCTTTTTTTGGAGGGCGAGACAGTATCGTATTTTGGCTATCTTGGATACACATGTGAAAGTTACAGGGATCTGTAGTACATCTATCAAGTTTCTCTATGCACTACGACGGTATTTACTACATTTCCCCGCAAAGGATCAAATTCCCCGAGGATCTGACCGATTAGCACCTGATTTTGGCCGAGGTTGGACTGAAAAGATCTAGAATCATCGAAATTAATTTAAGTGATGATTTAGTGACTGAATGTTGTCTCAGACTAATGCGGAGAGATTCTTCCGATCGGCGGGCCAAGCAGGTTAAGCATTTGATATACTGATAGACTCTGCCCTATCTAGACTGTATAACCATTTCGCCCTCTATTTTCTTCTCTCCACTTGACAAAATGAAACTCGCGACAGTTTTCCTCTTTGCTGCCACAGCCTGGGGTGCTCAACACCATCATCGACGAGATACTACAGACAATGGCATCAACCTGAGTGCAATCTCGAGCGCACTGTATTTGACTCTTTTTCTAAATGTTTTTTTTTTCTTTAAAAAAAATAACCTAACACTTTTTACAGAGAGGGTCTGGTGGCCAACCAAACAACCACTGCAAACTTTGCCAATATCTCGCCGCCGCCCAAGTCTCTCATCTCCGAGATTCTATCTGTTGTGCCCGTATCCGTCATCTGGGAACTCATCAACCCAGCAGAACGCAGTTCCCTCGCCAGTCAATTCAAGGCTGGCACTACCCCAACCTGGTACGGCGCTCTCCCAACGGATGTGAAAAACTATATGTCGGTGGTCAAGTCGCAGATCTCCGGGGGAGCATTGACGGCCACAACGGCCGAGATCCACGCGGCAGCAAATACAGGGACTGCAGCGGGAGCCACGGTGACCGATTCCAATCCCGGAGGGCCGGTGAGCTCGACCTCTAAAGGTGTGGCCGCGCAGCCGACGGGGCTGACCGTGTCGGCGTTGGGGGCGCTGGGAGTGCTTGGACTAGCACTAGCTCTGTGATGGAAAGATCCACATGAATTGCGTACGGGGTACTTCGTACAGAGTAGATATGACTATGACAATGATGAGAGATGTTTCCAAAATCCAAATATTATTTCCTTTTTCTCTTTATCTTTTACTCCGTACTCGTAGATCTATACGATGTACGTTGGTGGAGTGCAAGGTAAGACCGTTACATTAAGCACATGCTTCTTTTCTTATATAGATTAAATTTTAATATGAAAGATGCAAATGGCATCATAGTGGAAAGTATCCGCATAGTCCTTTTAGATCTATCCGTCTATCCGTATGTAGGTATGTATGTATGTAGTAGAACAAGATAGATGGCTGTTGCCGATCACTACTAAAGCGAACCTCTCCTCCGAAGTGGACTTGGTCAGAGCGGGCATTTGAGACAAGCAAATGGGACTAATCTGAAAAAAAAAAAAAGAGAGAAAAGGGCAAAAAAGGGGATCAACCCGACGATCTTCCACTAAAAGCCCACATTGCTGGGGGCGGAAGAGGGGGACGTGTGGGGGAAATGTTCGTATAATCTGCGTATTGGATTCTCTTCCTCTCTTATTCGTCATTGGCTTCCTACAGATACACTTCATCTATCTCTCTCACATGGAATTGCTTGTTCCCTCGGCCTCAATCTAACATCTAGATCGTGTTCGGGGCTAACGGCCTCGGACAATTTCCTAGTACTTTGTACGCTAATGAAAGTTGCATTTACGGAAATACAGATCAGCTTGTTTATAAGGCACTGGATGTTTATACCATCTTCTTTGCCCATTCCTCACTCCATTCAATATAACAAATAACAATAAAACAACATAATGCGTTTCTCTCGGATTCTGTTCCCCTTGGCCCTGGCCCCATTGGCTCTAGCTGCCCCCGAGGCTCGTCCCAATCCTGTCGCTGCACCAGCCCCGGTCGCCACTGGTGGCCTACTCGAGGAGCTACCCGAGATTCTGAGCGGCGTACAGGGCCTCTTGACCACCGATAACCTCAACAAGCTGGATACTATCCTGGACGGTGCCGCCAAGTTGCTTGCCGCCGATAATATCGATATCTTGCAGGATATCTTGACCAACGCCCACAGCTTGTTGACTAAGAGCTTTGTCGGGAACACAACTACCCTCATTGAGGATGCCACACCGGTATGTACTGCCCTTGCTGCTTTTGGCTTGGGTGCTATGCTAATGCACTATAGCTGGTTGATGATATTTCCAAGCTTCTGGGTGGTATACTGGGATCACTGTGAGGGGCTGATAAAAAGAACGAATCATGACAATTACTATAGCTATCTGGTTTTATGTTTTATTGCACGGATTGAAAGCATTTCTTGAAGGAGTATATGTATCTACACGGAAATACAATGGAACCGTCAAATCATACAGAACAGAACAATCATGTCTCTCATTAACGGGTATATACAGAAAAATTAGAAAACTAAGAATCATTCTTAAACCTCCTTCCCATCGATCGTCTCCTTGAGTCGATCCTGGTAGAATTTCAAAGGGTATGCCCGCCATTTATCAGGCATCGCCGGATAAAGAGCGACCGAGAAGCCCATCCAGGTGCGGTAAAGGGCCCGAGTGGTCATCGTCGAGCGTAGACCGTAGGCATCACGCAGACTCGGGGGCAACATCTCAATCGTAGTCACCCGCAAGAAAGGCTTCAAAGACTGCACCCAGCGCGGCATATCGTTACTTTCACGAAGGTCCTTGGCAAACTGAGCCGCATCCGACGAGACAGTCAACTGATGAACCTGATCATCCCAATAAGACCAGAATGCCTGACGGGATTGCGGCCAGGTACCGACGGGGAGACCCAGACAGTTCACGAGCAAGGCATACTCGCTGTATGCGCGCTGGGCACTGGCATAGTCCACGCGGCCATATACACGTTGATAGAAGTCGGTCGCGGTCGCGTACAGCGTCGCTGCCATCCACAACTGCAGCGGTGGATGCTCAGCGAAACGATTCGAGCGACCGCTGCCCAACAGGGGCGGATTACCCTCCTGCAGGAGATCGATGAGAACTTTCCGCTCGCTGCGGGTACCAAAGACCAAGCAGGAGATATAGCTGATATTGGCCTGGAGAGCATCGATAAGCTCAGTGGCTAGCTCTTTGTGGCCGCCGTGGTTGGCGCCTGCCTCACGGATTGCGGGCATGGCAGCTTGTAGTAGCAGCGTCGCGCCAGATCCTGCAAAGAGAATGCCCTCCTGGAGCATTTTGGGGAGGACCTCTAGTTGTTCTAGGGCATGGAGACGACCTGAGACATTGGAGATATTGCTTGCGGTCGCATCGGAGCCACTTGGAAGGTCATGGGACTTTTCGTCCACTGGGGAGACGGGAGATGGAGGGAAAGACATGGTGAGAGAGTTGGTCAATCTCGAATAATTGTCAAGAGTTTATGATCCCATTAATATCAGAATCTTTCTTCCCCAGAAAAACCCCCCGCAAAACCCCGAGAAACCTCCCAACGTCTAAGAGTGTTGATCATCTCGGCCCATGTGAATAGTGTCGCCTTTCTTAGGAATAAGCCGCGGCTGGTAGCAGATCGCCATCTCCTGAAGCGCTGATCCCTTCCCTCTTCTGCGTCATTCGCCAAAGAAAGCAATCCTGCTCCGACGAGTAACCCGCTTTCTTCCTTTTTGATCTATTTTTTGGGGGGGTCTTTTTCGTACCCACGGGGTCCCGCTTCGGTGTATGGAGAGGAGATGAAGTCCGGGGGTGCTTTTGCGCTAAGATACATATACGCAGAATCCTCCCCTCCCCCCTTTCTATTCTAAAGGTCAAGTCGAGATTGTTGCGATCATGGGCAAAAATACAGATACGCCAGCATATCTGACTTCGGATGATGCCAAATATACCCTAGGTATTCATCGTGGGCCATTGATATCCAAGGGTGATGATGAAGGCGCCCAACTTGCACAAGTCGAATCGACCGGAGGTCTGTCATTGGAGACCAGAAAGTTGAAGCGCACCGAGAAGTTCCAGCGCCATTGGAAGCGATTCTGGTGTCTGCATCTTTTAGTGACTATCATCTTCCTGGCGATTTTTCTGCCTGTCTTGTGAGTTGCAATGCTTTGAACCCCCACAAAACAAATGCTAATTGCAACTATAGCTTCCTGGTTGCCATTCCAGCCATCTCACAAATGGTCGTCAATAAGTCCGACCTAGTATTAGTCAATGCCTCGGTCCTAAACCCGCGACCGGACAAGATTGAATTGACCCTGCTGTCGGCATTGGACCTCAAAATTGCACTGCCAGTGCGCATCGAGCCGATCACATTGAATCTGTTCGTGCGCGACACCGGCGCAGACAATGCATGGGGTCAGGCTAACCTCGACGGTAAAGTCATCAAGGGTAACACGACCCTAGGCGTGACCAAGATCGAGACGCCACTGACCAACTTGACCACCTGGGATGAGTACGTGCACAATGTGGTGTTCGAGAAGGAGACGGCACTGTCTGTCAGAGGTGTGACCAATTCATACTTGGGTGTACTCAAGTCCAAGGTCACTATGGACAAGGATATTATGTCACCAGGTAAGCCGAAGAAATCAAATCATAACTCAACAGTCAAGCTGACTTGATGATCCAGTGCTGGACCAATTCAAGAAATTCACCATTTCCGACAGTGGACTCATTCCGGCCCTCGAAGACGGCACCAACCTAAGGGGGAATGTCTCCCTTCCCAACCCGTCAGTGTTGACTCTTGATATTGGCACACTCGTCCTTGACGTGAAGAGCGGTGACCTCGTTATTGGAAACGCCACAGTCAAAGACGTCACCATCAAGCCTGGAGACAACGTCTTCCCTCTCACCGGAATTCTCGACATACACACCATGATCGAGCATCTCGGAGAGGTGCTCGCGTCACAGGCAAAGGCCATCAAAACCGGCAACCTAGCCCTGGACACGGTAACCCGAACGGTCACCTGGAACGGCACGCTGGTGCCATACTACACCGACGTGATGAAGCAGCTAACGCTGACGGCCAATGTGCCAATTGCCGATCTGATCAAGAACACTGTTCACAACCTGCTCAGCGGGAATGAAACCCTCACAGATATTCTCAAATCAGGGGGCGAGACGAGCAAGCTGCTAGGAAACCTTTCGAGCGGTGATGACGGTGACTCCGGAAGTTCAATACTATCTGAAACCTCCGAGCTTGCATCTAAGATGAAGACGAATATTGGGGTGCGTGATATGTTCCGTGGCACAAATCCGGTTAAACGGGATTTAATCATCAACTCACTGGCTGGACTGTACAAGAAGCTGTGAGATGACGATCCCATTTCACTATGACTTTTTTTCTGTTTTCTTTTTCTTTTTCTGGCATTTATGTTTCCTTTTCATGTGGTCTCCGGATCCCGGATTCTGTGTACATGATTGCGAGATGCTCGCTGATGCCTAGACGATACTTGATTCCCCCTTTGGGTTGTGGCAATGGTTCTTTTTTGGAAGGCGTTGTGGGCATGCGTTGCTATCTTTCTATCTTTAGAGATGAAGATAGGTCTTAAATGTTCTTGTTTTGTTTTTTTTTCCTGTCGACTCCATTCCTGGGGCAGTGCATGGGCGAGTGTACTTTTCTGTATACATGGCTGCGTGTCCGGGCTGAGTCGGTGCAGATGATAATGCATAAATTATAAATTATATGATGATATGAATGGATTTGGTCCTTGTGTATATGTGTAATTTATAGGCTTGCATATTTCATTGCCATCAGGTTAGCAAAAGCACTTGATAAAGAGCAGGTTCATGCCAAATTGGATTTATCTTTGTCCAAATGACTTGTCCCAGCGGCTCCGTGTCTTTTAATTAGGTAGCTTATTGGATATTCAAATATTAATCAAGGAATTGGGGGTCCACTCTGTAGATGTCAGCCTCTAAGGGCTTCATGGTTGTTGTAGAATGGAACACATACAAATATAGGGCGGTGTTACTACTTCAATTGATGCCCAGGGCACCCAATTGACTGCCAGCAACGCTCGATAATAATTCTGAAATGAGGCTTGCTACCCAAGGCCTCCTACGTGCCCGAATCGTCATTAGTATTGTTTAGTGCTGAAATGGGAAGCATGCACAACCTCGTATACAAAGTTTACTTTTGAGCTGATTCCAATTTTAACTTGTTTTTGTATTAATATTGGCTATTGATAATGACCTATCGTGTATCTGGCCCTGTCTAGGTTGAATTACGGTACGAGACTTCCAAAAATCAATCCCGTATCTCATGCAGATAGTACCCGCGTTTGATACCCATGTAAAAGGGTGGTGCTTCTTCCACCAAGTTGTTTGAAGGAAAATACGGAGGTGGTGGCTTCAGCGTCGGCGGGAACAGTTCCCCGGGAGCCTGGTACTCTGGAGGGCATGTAGCAGTGGGCAGAGGCCCTGTAATAGGAATTCGAAAATGAGGATCAAAGCTAATGAGGATAAGAGCTTGCTGATTAGGGGGTAGACCAGGGGCGTCGATCGAGTAGATGATCGAGCGTTCGTCTGCAACGCTCTTCACAGATCCAGTGCGTGGGCCTGGACAGAGCAATGATTGTAATGCAGGCGGGGCATCTTCTGGAGGCCACATGCACACGCCACGACACTCGAAGCGTTCCTCGGAACCTTCAACAGGAAAGCCATATTGGTCCACCTGGGTGGGCTGGAACAGGCGGTTGCGAGGTCCCTCAATTCCCTCCTCGTCAATGGGACATTTGCGCTTGCGTGACACTGTACGCAACCGGATCCGATCTCGAGACCGTAAATTATCACCGACAGGGTCATTGACAATGTCGACAAAAGTTGACGCACCGAGATGGTAGCTCCTGTGTTTGGTACGAGCTGCGATGAACTCCTGTCGCCTGGTAGAGCCAGACTCGTACTCGGCATGGTAATGCCGCCGTAGCCTCTTTGCAGGTCGCTCATCATAGGGGTGGTCGTTCTCAAGGTCATCATCCATAGACACCCACGAGGGAGTTTCGAAGGTGCCTCCTGAAAGAGGTGCTAGAGCTTCTTCTGGGGTAGGAAGTCGCTGTGTGTAGTATGTACGGTGGTTTTCGCTCTTGCCATCACGCCACTCACGGCGGCACTCAAGTATAACTGGTCGGCCAGTCGTCTCATCCTTACGGATTGAAAGATCAGTCCACATCTCATTGATCGGGCCTTCTTGATGTTCTCGGCGCCACAAGCGACCGTTCCATTTGCGGCCGTCTTCACGAGGGGCGTGGCAGAACCAATGGTAGAAAGAGGAGTGTACTTC